GTGCAAATCGAAAGTTTGTCCCCGGACGCTGGGAAGGGTCGCTACGCCTCTGCAGTCAAGGAAGCTTGGTTGAACAAACTTATCAGAGCAGAAACTGCTTTTTGGTTTTTCGCTGGTGAATGTATTGGAAAAGGAAGTGTGATTGGTTACAATATACCCGGAGCCGTAAACTTTGACATTCATTTCTAAGTTTATAATGTTCATTTAGTTTAAAATAGTGACATGGATGTTTGTCTTGTGAATGCGGTAACAATATGAGAGTAACACTAGTGTGATAGTTTTGAACTTGTAATATAAAAAAAAAATTAAAGGCACAGTATAGTACAACTTTGGTGTGCTGATTAATAAATATCTTGTTTTAAGGGGGGCGGGGGGGGGGGGAATAGATATGGATGTTTGAAAGGGAAGAATGTTTGATTTGATGTGTCTCATTGTAATAATAACATTAAGGTTGCTTAACATTTTTATAATTTTAATTTTCTGTAATCCCAAATTAATTTCAGCTCTTCTCAAAGCCCAACCCGCTCACCCCCCCCCCCCCCCCCCCCCCCCCCACGCCGATAGAAAAAAAATCCCTTGATTGCATTTTCAGGTTTTTAAAAAATAAAATTGTAATCAGACGTTTTGTATTAGATCTATGTGTAAGTAAACCATCTTAAATGAATGAAAATAGGCTACAAGTAAGAAAGAAATATTACTATTGTAAATCTGTATCGGTCCTCACAAGCCGATGATGAAAACTGTAATACTAAAGCGAACATCCGAACATGCAAGGCAAACGAAAGAAGAAGAAAAAAAAATTACGTTATCAAAATGTAATAAATAATAATGATAAATCACAGTACCCAACCAGAACCCATGCAGACCCCCCCCCCTTGCGAGTGAGGGTCGACAGGGCCCACCCGCCGAGCGCTCCCCAGCTACTACACATAATTTCCACTGACCAACCTACATCAGACGGCCTCACATCGACCAAAAAATGTTTATATCATTAATTAAACAGTCGTGCAAACATCGAAACATAACAATCCTTACCCATTTTTTGATATATCAAAATTCCAGCGGCCATCTAACCTTTATTCGTTTTCATGAGTACTGTAATATTTTGTTAGTAATCATCAACATTATCTTATCCTGCTCCTGCCCTAGATACATGACATATAAAGGGATAGTGTGGTCAGCACTATTCCCAGCCGCCTTTGTTTTCCCTAACGTGAGTTATGTACTCATTAAAGCTGAGTGGACTCAGGGGCATTCTATTCACTTGAACCTGGATACGAACTCGATATTTTTGGGTTGGCAGTCTAGAGCTCTACCGCTGGGCCACTCCGTCCCATTACTAAAATATTTTGTGCGTGATCGTTTGTGCTAAAAATACTTGGGTCTCAGATATTTTGTACATGAGATTTTTTTTGACTGCGATATTTTTTTCCTGATTTCTTGTGTCTTACGAATAATGATAAATATATGTATTGTCTTAAAAATAATGATAAATATTTGGGTTGTCTTACAAATAATGATAAATATATGAGTTGACTTACAAATAATGATAAATATCTGGGTTGTCTTAAGATTGTCTTACCTTACAAATAATGATAAATATATTTAACCATATTACCTTTCTTACCTATTCCACCTTCCCCTCCTTCACCCCATACCTATATTTTTTAATGCATTTTTCTATCAAGGTATATATAGGATAAATTTTTTTTTGGCAAAGCGCTGTAGTATCGTTTGATCGTTTTTTAGGTTGTTTTTTTTTTTTTCCTTCACCAAGGGAAGCTACTGAGAAATAATTGGTACTGCGTGAAATCTGAAATGACAAACTGATGCTCGGGTTGTGTACCTTTGAGCTTTGTGTGCGCGGACATCTGCTGTGAATTGTTTATGATTGCAGACAACGGTGTTAGCGTCAGCACATTTTCGCGGGTTATGGTTGGCACTATGTTGCACAGAGTACTATGTGATCAATAGAGATTTGGGAGTCTGGACGAAGAGTGGATTTTTTTTAATTCGTTATCTGAACTGAACAGAATGAAAGAAATTAAATTTTTTTTTTTTTTAATTTAATTGCCAACTTTACAGTTTCAGCAAGCTTACATTAGTGATTGCAGTGGACATTTCGTTTGGGTCAAGCACTTCATTAGTGTGCTTGCGTGTTTTAATTAGACTGTCGTATGCTGATGATGACGTAGAGCCGAAACAGCCTTTTGTATATGTCTCTCTCCTTACGTTACCAAGTGTAAAGTTAATGATAAAGGCTGCTAACATTTTACGACCAATATAAAATGATTAATTATCTTTTTAAATATTTAAGGGAACATTAAAGTGTGTTCATATACAATATTTTAAATATATTTTAATACGTTTTTTATATATTTTAATACTTTTTAAATACTCACAGAAAAAATGATTGCGCTAACTAATCCTTAAATCTAAACAGAGGCGTAGCGACCCTACCCGGCGCCCGGGGACAAACTTTCGATTCGCACCTCCCCCTCAAACTTTTCATTTGCACCCCCCCCCCCCTCAAACTTTTGATTTGCACCCCCCTCGAACTTTTCATTTGCACCCCCCCCCCCCTCAAACTTTCGATTTGCACCCCCCCCCCCCTCGAACTTTTCATTTGCACCCCCCCCCTTCAAACTTTCGATTTACACCCCCCCTCAAACTTTCAATTTGGCGCCCCCCCCCAAGGTCGGCGCCCGGGACATATGTCCCCCCCCCTCGCTACGCCTCTGAATCTAAACTAACATCAGTACTTATTCCAGTTAGCTAGTTCGCGAATATATGCGGATGACTAATAGATGTAAGCATTCATTGAACACGTTTATAAAAGTACGGCTACCAGTGGCGTAGCCAGGATCGTCTCAATGGGGGGGGGTCCAATTTTTACCCGGGGACAAACTTTCGATTTGCACCCCCCCCCCTCAAACTTTCGATTTGCACCTTCCCCCCCCCCCCCCCTTATACTTTTTATATATACCGAGGGGTCTATGGGGGGGTTATGACCCCCCTAACACCCCCCCCCTTCCTACGCCACTGACGGCTACACACATATTTTAAAATTTTAGTATCTTGATATGTTTAGTACTAGATCTACAATTTAGAACTTATTATGAAGCGCAACTGTGATTCCACCCGTACGCTACTAGAATACAAGCAGTGAAGTTCCTCTTTATACCTATAATGAAGCAGCGTTCCTTTGTTTCTTAACCTCGGCATATGAAGGGATGGTGTGGTCAGCACAATGCCTAGCCGCCTTTACTTCCCCTAATGTAAGTCAGGTACCCATCAGAGCTGGGTGAACTCAGGGAAATCCTACAGTCACGTCCGAACTCAAGACATAGCAACCAAACGCTCTAGTATTCGACCACGCCTTCCTATCAAAACACGTAGTCTATAAATAAAACATTTTTATAATGTGTGCATATAATATTTTGCATACGCGAAGAATAAATTCAAAACTAATTTTCCCATTTTATAGTTACATGCCGTGTAAGGATGCAGTTTTATTTTTATAGAAACAGAAACTTAGATACGTAACATATAGAATGTTTTAGGCCTATCTAACATGTCTTAAATTCTACATACAACAGCTTGAAAGAGAGAATCCCCATAGAACATTACAGAACTATGCATGAACGGAAAGGGCCTTCTTTTAGCGTCGTAGTTTTTTTTTTCTAGCTCTAGTTGATAGGTAAAGTGTACAGTTTGTGTGAACATTTTACCTAGGGGTTTTTTTTTTTAATTAAAAAGAAATCTGTAATACCAAACTTAGAACTTGGTATCTTCTTTTTATTTTGCAAGTCACAAAAGACCTGTCCGTTGATAGCCAGCAATGAAAGACTTCTCCAGACACCGTTCGGCAGCACCAACCTATCAGCTGGCTTGATCCTTTTAGAAAATGTTGGTAGGTCGTTTTCAATTATTGTCATTTTCCCCATTCAGTTTCTAGATCTATTTATCCGTGAATTTAATTACGGATACTTTTTAAAATTACAATATTTTTAAAAAATTATATTCGTTTCGTTTTAATGTTTGTTTTGAAAATACGACACAATTAAAGGGGTCGTTCATAAAAGACGTCCTGGGGGTGGGGGGGGGGATCATACTGTCGGAACTAGTGTATTTGGGGATCGGAAAGTGTGAAGACCACTTTCGCATGTAAATGGTAACGCTGGAAACCGAATTTATCTCTTTTTGAAACTATTAATACAACACGTAGAAATAATAAATTTTTCATTTATGATCTCTAAACAAATCGGCAGTAATATGTGAATGGATCAAAAATATTTTATGCATAAAAAGTTTAGGTCAAAAGATTAAGGCTGCATTGCATTGCTATTTATTTAAAAAAAAAATTAAAATCAGACACATAATAAACGGCTTAAAACAAGCAATGTTGTAAGGCTGATAACTTGGTGGATGAAATTGTCCTTAGGTCCTCTGGATTGAAAAATCATTAAGTTCGGGTTTTTCTGTTTTAATTGCTAAAGATTACGAAATGTTACATACGGAGATTCGCATAGCTTTCATTTATCCGTGTCGATTTAGTTAACCACCCATGCTAAAAATAAATACGGGTTGACCGGCATCAGGAAAAGCTTTCATTACGTCAACACAAGGAAACATTAAGTAGAGCAAATGGTGGTACTAAAAATAGTTGAGGCTCTGTCAGGTTTATGTAAATTGTTTATTTCAAGGGTTCTGTCTTGTGGTAAGAAGTAAACTTCCGATTAGAGAGCGAATCGTATTAAGATATATCAATAGATACGTTAAAATATTGTATGATCCAATGCAATAATCCAGAAGCTTCGAAAATATGGTTGACCATTTAAGTTGTTTACGAGATTTTGGTGACATCATCGTCACACCAAACGCTTCATTAGCATATAACCAATCAGATTAAGGAAAATATACGCCCACTCCAGACGCCTATTTTGATTGGCTCTAGACTAAGGCGAGACAGAACAAAACTGCGCTGCAAGTCCCGATACTGCGCACTGCTCAAGTGAAAAGCAACTATGTTATCGTAGCGAAACGCTATCCCTTATTTGTGTGTGAGAGTGGTTGTTTGTGTGAAATTGATGTTCTTAGAACGAAAGTTTCATCAACAGACATTAGAAGGTTTATAGATCTAGACTATGTAAGTATAATTTAAAACTTTTAGTAATGGTTATCTAGATTCTTAAGAGATTAATTATTAATTCCAGATCTAGTCTAGATTAGTTAGCCCACTTTTTATCGAAATAGGGTCTCACCATATGGTGGTAAAATTTAAATTTTTTAGAAGGCCTACATTTACCTCTACCGACCCAAGGATATTCTAATTAACTAGAAATGACTAATAAAATGCGATGAAGGTACACTAAGACTTAAAAAGTAGCTGCTGGTGGATCTACAATAATTTAATTTCAAAGAAGTCGATCTAGATCTAATCTAGATCTAGCTAGAGTCAGTAGAAATCTAGATGATAGTAGTATTAGTAGACTATCTAGATTTCTAGATCTAATCTAGACTACGTCTAGATCTAAATTTAGACTACTGTGATTCTAGATCTAGAATTCTAGACAAATCAAGAATAGTCTTTTAGATATCTAGATTAACTCTAGATCTACTAATCAAGATCACAGATTCTAGATCGATCTCTAACCAACTCGCGCAAGATTTCCGTAATTACCTCTGCACTGAGTGCTCTTAGTCTTCTGACTTCTAGCAGCCTAGAATCTAGCTAGATTGATAATAATCCTTCAATTTGAAGGATTAAAGTTAAAGGTTTTTTAAAATTAGTACTGCATATACTAGGACTAGAAATCGAGAATCCAGAAAGTTTCTCAGATCTAAACCTAGTTTTCCTGTTGAAAGATAAAGCCTAAATTAAAATTTTAGGACTAGATTCTAGATCTATCCACTTAGATAATTACTTGATCTAAATCTAGGCCTGATAGGCCCTAATCACCCATAATGAAGTTATTTTTAATTTAAGCTTTTTAAAATGCCAGTAGATCTACTTGTATTTAATATAGGACTATCATTAAATGTCAGATGCAAATTTTGTATAAAATACAAGGTAGCTAACAACTGTCTTCTTTTTTTTTTCACAGATATAAAAAAAAATTTCGGAACCAGAAGGGTATTTATAAAAACGTGTACACAATCCTATTCAGTGATGCGAAAGGAAATAGATAAAGCAGTGGATACCTTCCACAGAATTGCTTTTGGCACAAAGAAAAATGGTACAAAGATAATATCTGAAAGCAAACTGTCATCTTTCATCACTATTCTCACAGAATTACTGTTGGCTCGATATGAAAAGAATTGGTTTCCAGATAATCCTGATAGAGGTAGTGGCTTTCGATGTATCAGAGTCAACACCCAAAGCATTGATCCTACAATCTTGGAATGCTTAAAGCGGTCAAAAATCGGAATACCTAAATGTTTGACCCACACAGAATTAACTATCTGGGTCGACCCCGGAGTAGTATCTGTTCGCATTGGAGAAGATGGCAGCATTGGGTCAGAGGTTGTTGATGAGGAGGTGTATAATTCAAGCCAAAAATCCAAGCTCTCCAGCAAAAGATCAACTTCAGAATCAGATGAGGGATTTTCTTCTAGAAGCTCTAGCCCTGAGTCTACACTGTCAGATCGTTCTGGATCTGTGAGCCCACCAATGAGCGTGTCTCCCACATTCAGTCCAAAATCAGCCTGTAGCTCCCCACCAAATGCTCTGGAATACAACCCCTACTCCCCGCCCGTCCAGGTGTCGTACCCAAACCGTTATCGCCCTTCAACTCCTCATACACCTTCCCAGCAGCTAGCTAAAACCCTTTCTCCTGCAGCTAGTCATTTTCAGCCATCAGGATCTCAGAGTAGGGCACTGTTTTCTCAAGGCCCATCCATGACATCTTCTCCTCATGGGGATTTGTTTTTGGCCAGTCAAGGTCACATTCCAGTACCATCACCTCAACGTACATCTTACACTCGTCCGCGATCCCTCTTTCCATCCTTGGAAAATGGCAGCTCGTCGCAGGGATCTGTGATGGACGGCTTTGGGAAGTCTACTTTTAACCCATATTCTGTGCACATGCACCAGCTGAATTACTACGACATTCCAGCCATGGCATAGTGGCATTTGCTGCTAATTTAAAGACATTATGTATTGTGTGCATGTTTCATTAGTAATCTTTTTTTTTTTTCAATATAGTCATAGTCAATGTATATCTGTTAACTAAATACCTAGACAAGGTGCAAGTTAAAAACAATTAGTTAAGTGTTCTCTGTCCTCTTGCTTCTTCAATGTTTATACTGCAAAATTTTTGTGTTACACCGAATTTCCAAGTGTTAATCAATTAGATAGTGTGATACGACATGGAGTTTTTAAAGTTGGATGTATCTTCACAAGAAGGATCTTTTTGTTTTACCAAGATTGCTAATTCAAAATCTATGCCTGCTGCTGCACTGGCTTTTAATCTGCATTCACTTGATGTGTATTTTTATAAGTTTTGAGAAACCACCTGCAGATTTCTACTAGTTAATAACCAATTTTTTTGTTTCGTAAGGATTAAACTAGGTGACCATTTGTTTAGAAATTTTGTCTATAAAAAAGGTTAATAACTAGCATCTTAGTCCTTTAAGGATTGCCAAGTCATATTGCTGGAACGGATAGTTCAGCAAGCTAAAACTATAAACGTTGCTTTAGATTGATTTATTTTTAATTTTATAACACCTTGTACTTGCAATCCTAGATCCATTATATAAAGAGCAATCCAGTATAAGTTGATAAGCAGGACATTTTGTTTCAGACATTGAACTTTCGTGTGCTGTAAGATTTTCCATAGTTGATTCCCCAGTGCATTGATATAGCTTTATATCCAGGTGAATTTTGTCTCAATATTTGTTGATCAGATAGTTGGAGCGTTGATCTCAGGTTGAAATGGCAGTTCTATGGTCAAATATGATTATATTTATATATAAATATATATATATAATATAAATTGTACAAATGGTCATCATCATGTATTTGAAATTAGTTTTCATTTAAAATATTTAAAAATGAATAAATCCTTCAGTTAAGCTGCTTCAGACCACGATAACTGTGATACATTATGATGCCTTCACATTCTGATATTAGTCATTTATGTTGCATGTCATCCGTTATCATCACGATGTTATCCCATAACCGTTTAAGCCATCTTCATTTGTCAAAACTATCATTAGCCGCTAAACTGAAGAATTTTTCATCCATAGTTGTAATTCAATCAATGAGCAGCTCTGAAATAGTATTATTTAAAAAGGAGGTTATAAATATATAAATATATTTTCATGTAACTTAAGAATGTCCTGAGTGGTCTATATAGATATGACAGATTGGCCTGCTATCTTTTCATATGAATGTTCTGAAGTAATTTTAATGTAAAATGACAATAGATTAGAGAGAATAATAGCTTTAGGGTTTCCTTTCTGTTGCATGGATTCTCCTATAAAGCTGGTGCTAACATGAATGAATTGCATGAGGTTTTATTGACTGCTTTGTCAAATAACTTTCTGTTGCTTTGTGTACATGATTGTCAAGTTTTTAACACAACTGGATTTGTGGAGCCTTCATATAAGATTTTTATGGTCTTTCAACTATTTTGCTCACCAACCCCTACTGCTGCTGTATAAGCAAACAAGGCTTGGTGAAGCTTTGATTTTATGTTTAACCAATGGATAATGTTGGGTGGAAAAGAATGGTTTTCAACACAGTGCCATAGGCTGAACTTGCATTCTCTACTTTTTTTTTTAAATTTTCTTTTGCAAGTGATGACGTATAATGCTCTCAGATTGTACCTTGTTCCTTTTAGGTAGCAACTCACTGCCTTCTCACACTGTGGTTTGCATTGCAAAAGGTAGGGGGTACAGTGTCTGTAAATAATCTGATATTTTGCACCACAGAATGTAAAGTAGTGTATATATCTAAAAGTTTTTAAAAGGGCATAAAGTAATCCATTTTGAATTTTAGAACTTTGCCAATGTAATAAGTATAAATAAAAGTTTTTAAAAAGTTTTAAACACATTTTGTTCATTGTTTAATACAAACAGTTGCATTTTTTAAATTAATTTTTTAATTACAGTTGCAAAATTTATTTTTTGAACAAGATTTGCATGTCCCTACTGCATATTAGACTATGCCTTTTCCATTTTTCTAGATTTCGTTTGTTTCGCATTGCACGTATGATGCATTATCTAAAGGCTAGTGAATTGAACTTCATGCATTTTAAAGCCTGAGAGCATTATACATGTAAGCAAATTTAATTCTGATTTTGAAATGAATTGCCATACCCTCAAAATTTTTAATTTGTAATGGATTATTTTATAGCTTTGTAACAGGGTTTTAATAAGTACTCTTTTTGGACATCAGAAGAATGCAAAGTTGGAACAGTTTTTAAAAAAAAAAGTTATCTCCACATTTAGAAGACTTCTGGTTTGGTTTCCACTTTGAAAAGATAGTGTGCCCGGCCATTGTTGTTACGGTTGATCTATGGTTGTTGTGTGACTTTTATGATTTATTTTAAAATTGTTGACTAGTCAAAACGACTAAGGCATTTCAAAGCATATGCACAAGCTTATGTACAGACATTGTGTGAATGATTTGACTTAAATTGCCTGAACTTTTGACAGCTACCTGACCTGTTGTGTTCATGACAAATTATGGTACAAAATTCCCTGTAAATGCTATTGAGTTGATTAACTATGGAATTCTATTTTTAACAAAGGGCAGGTTATTGTTTAACCCATATGTAAATTGCTTTATCTTGCACTTTTATTTTTAATTCAATTATTCAAAAAAGAAAATAACAAAAAAAGATGTTGTACAGATGATATGTGACATGAATAAAAAAAAGATTTAGTTTCACGTTTGCTTTTGATTATTATTTGAAGAAAGTTATTTTATTCCTACCTCTTTTTCTTCTCCATTAAAATATCATATTTGAATCTACATAAACAGCAAGCTAGTCTGAAATACTTAAACATTGGCTTAGCTTTTGTAACTAATTTTCTGTAATACAATCATACACCAGATTCTTAAGGCTATATGTAGATAATTCAGGATGTGTCATATTTGCAACAAGGAACATATTGGGTACGGAAGCAATCTAAGCTAATGTGAAAGATTATCTGATTTATAAACAAGGCATACTGGATATTGTCAACACTTGCGTAATATGCTACTGAGCTAGAAGACTGCTGAAATGTACTTAAACCATGGACTGGAAAGGATATATTTTGTTCAGAATTTATTCTTGGATCATGATGGAAATGTTGCCTGCATTATTTTTAATCGAATGACAGTTGATACTGGTAAAAATGGAGGATAAACGACCAGCTTTTCCAAGTAGATCAGGGGTCTCCAAACTTTTCAGTCCGAGGGCCACATTAACAATCAAATTTGACTTCGGGGGCCAGTTTCTTCTAGGCATTTTTTTCTGATTTTCTGGGCGAAGTTCCTCAGCCATCACCAACAAACGATTTTTTCATTGGGCAAACAGATCTCCGCGGGCCGGATGAGAGGACTTCGCGGGCCGCGGGCCGTAGTTTGGAGACCCCTGAAGTAGATAATCAAAAATGGTGCCTCTTGGTTGATTCAATTTAATTCACACCTGGGCAATTTTATAGTAGGTGACCAGTTAGGCTATTTCATGTTGGTTATTCCTTCATAGCTAAACTACTTCATGTTGGCTATTTCTTCACAGCTAGACTATTTCATGTTGGTTATTCCTTCATAGCTAGACTACGTGTTGGCTATTCCTTCATAGCTAGACTACTGCATGTTGGCTATTTCTTCACAGCTAGACTATTTCATGTTGGTTATTCCTTCATAGCTAGACTACATGTTGGCTATTCCTTCACAAATAGACTACTTCATGTTGGCTAAATGGTTGTTTCTACTTCAGTCACAGCTAGACTATTTCATGTTGGCTATTTCTTCACAGCTAGACTACTTCGTGTTGGCTAAATTAGTGTCTCATCATCAGTCACGGCTAGGCTATTTCATGTTGGCTATTTCTTCACAGCTAGACTACTTCATGTTGGCTAAATGATTGTTTCTACTTCAGTGACAGCTAGGCTATTTCATGTTGGTTATTCCTTCATAGCTAGGCTATTTCAAGTTGGCTATTCCTTCACATCTAGACTACTTCGTGTTGGCTAAATTGGTGACTCGGCTACAGCTGGTTTCACGAGTGACTCAATTTTAGTCAGCTTTGTTCTTGACGATGCGATGTATGTTTACATTACGGAACTCTGGCTAGCCAACCGCTTCCATTACTGAGGCGTAATGACAAGTATTTTGAGTAGGAAATATTGTATATGTCAATTCCTGCTGTGACTAGATCTATATGCTTCACTAAAGGATATATGCAAATCATTTGTCGACTTGTATGTGACAAACCTACAATATGGCCATACGCTGTAACAAAACGTTATTATAATTAAATGTCATCGCTAAAAGATTTATGAGTAATATGAGTAAGCCTAGTCTTACAAACTGTCTTCACGGAATATTGATCTAGATCTAATTGCAAAAGCATTACTGAAGCGCAGTAGTTTTTTGTTTTTTTTTTTCACTGTGTAGGCCTACTTGACAGATGCTTTATAAAGGCAAGATATTGTAGCCTTCATATGCCTGAACATAAAATTTAAGTGTGTGATGATTTTCGGGAAATTTTATTAAATGTAACCAAAAAAACTCGAATTAAGTTCTGGGTGCCTATACGCCAACATAAAATATCGGATGAGGCCTTAGGCGCTGAGTCTTTGTGTATAAACAACGAGAGGTTCACCTTCAATTCAGCGCCCGGCTATTTTTAGACATCACCTACGTCATGGCTTAGGCTGCAGAACAACTACGTCAGCGATAATTTTACTCTTTTACTCTATTGGGTGGAAAGTAAAGTGTGGGGACGGGAGGGATGGTCGAAAAAAAAATGTAGGTCTAGAACAGGCATATTTTGACAACATCTGTTATATTTCGCTGATGTTTCAAATTGTTCTGTTCACATTAGTTTCTTTTAGTTTTGATAAAATGTCAGCCTTGTATATTCAGATAATTCTTTTTATTAAAGCTAGCTGGTCTATTTTCTTACTTAAAGCGCATTACTGTCGAACGTTGATTTTCGTTTACCGATAATGAAAACAATTACACAAATGTAATTTGTAAATTTAAAACAAAATTTGTCTTCACGAAAAAAAAAATGCTTATTGATTGTGTCAAATGTTCAGAATGGCAATCCTAGCGTAGAGCAGGCTATTTCACAGCGTAATTCAACTTGGCAAGCGTTCGCTAAGTTTATCAGCACAATCGAGAATATTGGCAATGTCACAGCTGGCTTCTGCAATGAGGTCAAACGGGCACTCGAAAGTTCTGTAAGAGCAGGGGTCTCCAAACTTTTCAGTCCGAGGGCCGCATTAACTATTAAAGTTCAGTTCGGGGGCCAGTTTCTTCCGGGCACGTCTTTGATTTTTCTGGGCAAAGTTCCTCAGCCATCACCAACAAACGGGCCGGATTAGAGGACCTCGCGGGTCGCATCCGGCCCGCGGGCCGTAGTTTGGAGACCCCTGCTCTAAGCTAACTACTCAAACTACCTTCACGATTAGCTGTCAAATCCAGACTTTGGGCACACGTAACTGTCTAATCTAGACTTTGGGCACATGTAACTGTCTAATCTAGACTTTGTGCACATGTAACTGTAAGTGTTAGTCCCGAGAGTGCACCAAGGTGTAACACAGTTTACAGCGGTTTGCTCTCGTCTTTTGTTTGTTGGAAAGTATCTCGCGCGTGGGACTTTTTTGTCAGGGGAAAAAACAAACAATGTTTTTTTTCCAAGGGAGGTAATTATAAAATTAAAAGAGAAAAGAGAAAAAAAAGTAGTAATAAATTTTGAAACAAAAGCAAGTAAACAGACATTAGTATTAAATATAGAAAAATAAATTTTAAAAACATCTTTAAAACATTTGGTGACTTATCACACAATGTTAATTACAACTCCCAGTAATTTTTTTTGCTAATCCAACAATCAAATGCAACTTATTTGCATTCAGCTGTAATATTTATACCAAGAAGATTAATTTAATTGTAATAGAGGACGTAGTTGCTTCAGTGATCTTATGTAGGCGTATTTTTTTTTAGGGATCATTTCTATAGTTGTTCTTACCGGGTTGAGCAAAACTTAAATGCATAGAGTCCTCATTTCCATGCACTAGAAATGGACTATCCAAGCATCACGAAAGTCAACAATGGGGTTGCGCCCATTTTCGTTCCCTCTAGCAGAGGTCTCCAAACTTTTCAGTCCGAGGGCCACATTAACTATCAAATTTCAGTTCGGGGGCCAGTTTCTTCCAGAAATGTCTTTGAATTCTCTGGGCAAAGTTCCTCCGCCATCACCAACAAACGTTTTTTCCGTGGACAAAATGATCTCCGCGGGCCGGATGAGAGGACATCGCGGGCCGCATTCGGCCCGCGGGCCGTAGTTTGGAGACCCTTGTGTAAGAGGAAGGGTTGGATGCGGTTGCATTTTTTGTTGTAGTTGTTCTAGAATTTTGAAATGAAGACGAAGCGATTTGCTTGGACTTTGAAATAATACCAAAAGTAGCACCTCTAAATATACTACCTTAATAATGATAGTAATGTGCATATTAATTGTATCTGCACTTTCTAAGTGCACTACACTGGCTATATGTTGAATAGGCCTAGGTATGCCCAATATGCAGTGTTTCTTCCAGACTTTTTTCTCCGGAGGGGGGGGGGGGGGGGCACTTGAAATTTTCGGGGGGGGGGGGGGGCGGTAAACTTTCTTCGGGGGGGGGGGGGGCGGACACTGTTAAAAGTATATATTTTCTATATAAATTATATAAATTTCATTCCGTTCGGGGGGGGGGGGGGGGCGAAGAGATGCCTGGAAAAAAACTCTGCCTATATGGAGGCAAGTGGTAGTTTTGTAACATAATGCACACATCTGTTTTTACGAAATGTATTGATGAGTGTATCGCTATAGACCAGGGGTTCCCAACCTTTTTTTTTACTCTAGAGCACATTCTAAAATATCGGTAGGGTGGCGGGCACCACCTATTTTAAATCGACAAACTCCTTCCAGAGGCGTAGCGACCCTTCCCGTCACCCGGGGACAAAACTTTCGATTTGCACCCCCTCTTAAATTTTCGATTTGCACACTCCCCCCCTAAAATTTTCGATTTGCATCCCCCCTCAAACTTTCGATTTGCACCCTCCCCCCTCAAACTTTCGATTTCCATCCCCTTCAACCTATCAAAAATGTTTATGAAAAAAATTCTGTCTCTGTCGAATAGTGAGAGGCGGGCACATATGAATCGTTCGGCGGGCGCCATGGCGCCCGCGGTCACGGGGTTGGGAACCCCTGCTATAGACTATAGGCCTATATTGCTAAACTAACTAAAGGCTTACCAAAAAACTCATTTTTGAAAAAAAAATAGCCTAGGTCAATGTATAACTTATAATTTTGAATACTATACGTCAAGTAAATGTGTCGTCAACACGCAATTTAAATTAGGTCATGATTTACATAAAGTAATTCAGAAACCAGAGCCGGCGTTAGGGGGTGGCAAACGGGGCGGCCGCACCAGGCCCCGCGCTTGAAGAGGCCCCGCGATTCAGCAAGGCCATTGTTATCTGAATTAGTTTGTAAATAAATAATCTTTGCTGAATTAAATTTAAAAAAAAACCAACTAAATGGCCGAAATTGTTGGATGTTAAAACTGAGGCCACGGCTGGTGTTAGTGAGTTATCCTCTACATGGACTGGGACAGACCGTTATTCTAAAGAAAGACGTTAGTGTCACACATCGCTTGCACGGTCGACTCGCTATTGTCCTGAGGTGACTGGA